ATTTTTTTTAAATATGTGTATGAGTGTATTGCTTGCATGTATGTAAGTGCACCCAAGTACTGCGATGCCTTTGGAGATCAGAAGAAGGCATCAGATCCCCTGGAACTGGCATTATAGATGGTTGCTAGTCACCATGTGGGTGCTGGGAATCAAACCTAGGTCCTCTACAATATCAGTCAGTGCTCTTAAGTGTTGAATCATCTCTCCGTCTATATCATCTATTTTTATGTATTTATAGAGTCTGAAAGACATCAGCCTTTAGGAAAGTATCAGCTCAACATTCTGAAATCATTGTTACGGAAAAATACCATAAGCTCTTTCTATATGAAAACATTGCTGAAGGAGATGGGCAACAGTGGGTGCTGGGGGTGGGGTGGGGAAGGCAGGATGGTAAGGAAGACAGGTGTGGCTCTGAAATACGCAAGAAAGATTTCATGGTGATGGAACTGTTCTATATCTGGATTACATCTGTGCCAATATTCTGCTTGTAATGTAATACCGTGGTTTTGAAGATAGCACCATTTGAAGAAACTAAGTGGAGGGCATAGGGAATCTTTTATTTTTAGGAGGGGAGTTAAGGACAGGGTCTCATGTAGCCAGGCTGGCCTTGAATTCCCAATGGTTCTGTTCCTGCCTTCCTGAATGCTGGGATTTCAGGTGTATGTCCCCATGCCTGGCTCCATGCTATTTCTTACAACTGTATGCGAGTCTACAAATACTGTAAAAAAAAAAAAAATATCAAGTGAGTAGTGACAGTGGCATCATCAACCAGAGCCCGCAAATCTTATAAATAAATGAATACACAGAAGAAAGAACTCTGCTCTCACAGAATGCTTACAAATAAATGAAAAGAGAATCAGAAGTCCATCACTTCTGAGTTTAAGATTGCCACTGTTAATCAATAGAAAAATATCAGCAACTTATGGAATTTCTAATCATGAAATTGTGGTATCAGAAGTTCTAAGTCATTTATAATGGCTTAATCTGTGAAAATGGATGCTGAAATCAGACATTAAAATTTGATGAAAAAGAGGCTAGGGAGGTGGTTCCTTCTAGAAAGTGCCTGCTGGCAAGCATGAGGGTTTGAGTTTGGATCTCTAGCACCCACATAAAAGCCAGCACAGTGATACACTTCTGTACCCTAGTGCTGCTAGGGGAGGTATCGAGATAGGTGGATTCCCAAAACTTGCTGGCCAGCTAGTCTAGCCAATCAGTGAGCTCTGGGCCCAGTGAGAGACCCCGTCTAAAATAAGGTGGAGAGTGATGGAGAGAAACATCCAGCATTAACCTCTGGTTTCCATTTTCATGTGGATGCATATATGCACAAACACAGACTCACCCAACTACACAGACATACACACAAATTTGGTAAAAAATGAAAACAAGCATGTTTACAGTGTTGAAGCATTTCTCTACAAAATGCTTGTTATATTAGGGAAGGGGGAAGTGAGTTTTCTTCACAGTGAGGAAGCTTGGCAAACACCATCTCTATCACATTGTCATAGTAAACATAAACATTACCAGTGACTGACCAAAGAGATTTGCTGCTTGGTAGAATGTAGCAGTACCTCTGCATTATCTTACTAGAGATAAATAATGTCAATCTAACCAAGTACACGTCAGAAAAACCCAACTTGAGGGAAGTTTTAGAAAACGACCTATGATCTTCAGGTAATGGAGGTTGACAAAGATTAAGGGATGGTTCAAAATGGGAGAAGACTCAAGGTAGTTGACCACTGAATATAGCTTGTGACCCTGGAGTAGATTCTTTTGTTTTGATGGACACGACTCTGGACGTATTGGTGAAACTCGAACGTGGTCTGTGGAGTAAATAGTAGGTTCTATATCCATGTCAATTCCTTGATTGTGATGGTTATACTGAAATTATGAACAAGTATGTCCCTGTTTGTAAAAATCGCAGTGTATTTAAGGGCATTGGGACCCTTACCAATGGCTCAAGAATTTTGAGCCTTTGAAGAATTTCATGGTTACAAATTTGATAAATTTGGTAAGCTTTTCTAACGACTAGTAAGTCTGAGAGTGTTTAAAAATAAAAGCTATCTTTAATACAAAGCTTCAATTGAAAATTGTGTCTATGGGCAGGAGCTGGATTAAGAGATCTTGGTCCTTTGTCTCTATTTTTTATTTTAAAATATTTTATTTATTATTTTTATTTTATGTGTATGAATGTATTTATGTGTATGAGTGCTGTGTCTGCATTAGCCACCATGTGGGTGCTGGGAATCGAACCCAGGTCCTCTGCAAGAGCAGTCAGTGCTCTTAACCACTGAGCCATCTCTCCAGCCCTATTTTTTTTTATTTTAGAAACTTTATTTTCCATCCAGCTTCTTTCTATTTGCTTTAACATCTGCAGAACAGCTTAGGCTCATTCAATACTTGTTCTTACAGTGACCTATCAATGGACACTTCAGAGCTCAGCAGCAGGCTGAACAATCTAATATTCAGTCAGGAACTGCTGGAAAAACACAGAGGACACCGACATGCCTTTGGACTAGTCTACTACCTCAACTGAGCAGCAGGGAACTTGGAAGCTGATAGACTCCATCCATCCTGAAGTTCCTCTTTGGTCACAGCCTCTCCAGCAGTGGCTTGCTCCTCTTTCCAGTCTCCTCAGGGTCTCCCTTGCTGTTCTGGTGGGCAGGCATGAACAATGGTAATATCTTCTGTTCACTTGGTGGCTTCCGGTGCTTTCTCTGGCAATAATTCATAGGGAAGCATCCTATACATGGCACTGAGGTTTTCATGTATTAACTTCTGTCTTCTGGGAAATCACTGTCCGCCCAGGAAGAGTGCCTGGGTTCAAACTCTTTCTTTCCCTCTGCTTTTCAGTTATCTGACATAGCAGTGGTAAGTAGTTGGCTTCCATAAAGGTTTTTATATATTTTTAAAAATTTTTTTGAATTTTTGTGTATTTCATACAGAAAATCATCTTTTCGGAGTCCCATTGGGTGTAGTGGTGCACACCTTTAATCCCAGCACTTAGGAGGCAGAGGCAGGTGAATCTCTGTGAAATCAAGGCCAGCCTGGTCTACACAGTGAGTTCTAGGCCAGCTGGGGCTACAGGGAGACCTTATCTACAAAAGACTAAAGAACAGAACAAAAACCCCACACATGGCCATAGTTCAGTGAGGAGAGCAGGACTGAAAATGGAACTTCTCAAATTAGGGTTTTCTTTCTTTTTTCTTTCTCTCTTTTTCTGGGCTTTTAAATAAAGGGTCTGTGATCATTAATCTCAATTGTCAATGTGGTGAAATTTAGAATCACCTGATAATGGCCCTCTAGGCCTGCCTGTGGTGGGGGGTATCCTGATTAGATTAATGGAGGCGGGAAGCCTTGCTCACTGTGGGTGGGAAACATTCCTGGGATGGGCTCCTAGCCTGCTGAGAAAGCAAGCAAGCTGAGCACCAGTATTCATAGCTCTCTGCTTCCTGACTGTGGACACAATGTGACCAGGGGCCTCAAGCTCCTGCTGCCATGCCTTCCCACTATGATGGACTGCACCCTCCAGCTTTTGTCCGGTTATTTCATCACAGCAACAGGAAAAGTGACTAAGACAGGGTTGGATATTTTTCTAGCCTTTTTCGGTAAAGGGTAGGCTTATAACTATGTCATATTTTGAGAACTGTACTGTCTCCATGGTGTTAACTCAGTCCTGCAATTACAGTGAAAGTGTAGCCACAGACAGCACATGAATTAATGTGTAGCTGTATTCCAACGAACTACATTTATAGACACGAATTTGGTTTTTTCTAACTCTGATGTGCAGCAAAATATTTCCCAACTATTTGAAGGTAAAATCTATTCTTAGCTCATAGGCCATGCAAGAGCAGGTAGATTTGGCTGATAGTTCTTAATTTCCACACTTTTGTTTTATAAATTAAAATGGTTATTACATATTCATCAGTAATCAGTCTGTGAATATGAGCCTTATCCCTTTAAGGGGAGAATTAGAGAATGTTCAAGGTAGACTCCCCAGGACACAAGTGAATCCTAGAACGTGCACAAGTTGGGTAGATGGATGATGTATTCCGTCTCCTGCTTCTTTGTTCTATCAGAAGGTACCTAAATCCAAGCCTAGTCCTGAACTACTCCATCCTAACTCACAAATAAACCCTACTTCTGATGAGGGCTTGGTATCAGGTGTAACTTGCTTGATATTAACAAAAATAAGTAATTTGTCTCAAAAGGTCTTGCCATTAAAAATGTTCCATTACCTCAGTGTACTGAAGGGGCAAATTTAAAGTAGCGATTTTGCAGTTTTGTTAGAGTATGAGTGTACTCTGGGTGAAGGGGGAGCAGAAATAATGTTACAAAATTACATTGTTTCAGAAGTTGAGGGCAAACCAGAATACATTACAAAGAAGTTGAATAGTGAAGCCTAATAGTTAATTGGGAAAGCGTGTGGGAAACTCAGTAAAACTCATTAACTGCCTAGCACATGTTAGATGAGGTTCCTAGTCTAGTAATTCATGGTTTTGCAAATCAAAACAAGGGGAGAAAATGTGAATCAGAGCTAATTTGTCAAGATGAACTCAAAGACATTTGATTTATAACAACCTTCTGTTCTAGATTTAAAGATTCAGGATCTCTTCTAAGCACTCATTGGGACATTTACTTGAATAGACATTTTCTCTTTTTCAAGACTATGTTATACTGAAAATATTATACCAGACATATCACTGGAAGAGACATATCATTTATCATTAGTTATTAATCAGCAGAAAGACCTCTGTAACTTATAAACTCCTAGAGTTTTATCAAAGTTTCTATATAATCGGAGTTAAACATTTCACTGTGCAAGTTATGTTCTTGAGGTAATATGTTGCAATGAATCTCCTGGGATAGAAACCAGTCTCTTAGCTGTGAGAGCAGGTGTTCATTCACCTCAGAATATAAAGGTCAGAGAGGGAAGGCATCAGAGTGCCCAGTGAGTAAGAAGCCTCTAGAACAAGAGAAATCATACCGACTAGAACCACACATTACAAACACTGATTGAGAATGATTTATTAAGGTCCAATTAGTATGCTTTTCATTTCAGATAGTCAATGTCTCCCCTATAAAAGCACATCAATAAAAATCCAAGTTCATTTCATCTGCTTCCAGTATAAAATATTCTATATTATGTATGGGAAAACCCTCCTGTCTGCTAACTGGTTCCCACCTTTGTTTTTACCACAGACATTTCATACCACATCTACCCTCTGACTAAACACGCACTGACTTCCTCCTCCTTAGAATGCCACTCTCTTCAGGCCTGCCTTCTCGCACACATCCCCCTGACCTCCCCACACCTGCTTCAGACCTGTATTTCTTCCTGGTTGCTCCTTAGAGCACACCAACAGAGTCACCAGTCACCCAGACAATGTGTCAGGCATCTCTGAGCATGGAGAGCTTACTGGGTGATTCCTGCAGATCACAAGGCACATGCTGGCACACTCACCCAGGCCGGTTAGTACAACCCTATAGTCACTTCATGTGTTTTATTTCTCTGAATTTTCTTCAATACTACTGACGGCAGTGGTTACTAAGAGGGAGCTCACCAGTCCCTCAAAACACAAGGTGAAACTGCTAGTTGCATTAGGGCATCTTGGTTATTGTGGCAGTCAGTGATTTCTAATCCATCTTGTTATTAACAAGTCATTCTCAACTGAAGTAACCACTTCTTCATTTCTTTTGTAAAAAGGTAATTGCACCAGCTTTCGTTGGCACTGCCACATAGGCAGTTTGAAAGTAGAACATCCCTTTTTATAAAAGTGAAAGATGAAAATATTTCACATTTTAAAAGTAAGTCCTTCATGGGAATAGGTCTTAAGTAAATAGTCAATGGTATGGGCAAGGTTTTATGTACACAAGATTCTTCCAACTTTATAATAATGAAATTTCAAAATAGCCTAGTCAACAATATGCCAATGGTTAAATAAGCTGAGTTTCATCCATTAAATGGAATAGTATATAGCCACTAACACTGTTTTTGTAAAAAAAAAAAAAATTTTAATGCCATAGGGAAACCTTGAAATTCCATGTAAAAACAGTTATAAACTGTTTCATAATATCTCAATCATGCAAAAGTATATAATATATGTATAGAGCATACATGGGGGAGCTGTTAAAGATGGTTACTTCTGGGTTGTAATAGCGATAATCTTTTTTTTCTTTTTTACACAGTTCTGTAATTTTCAAGTTTTCTACAATAAGTATGTATTATTTTGTAACTCAGAAAACCACAGGCTTTTAAGTTTTTCTTCTGATGTACTGGCACGAAGAATACACTTAGGTATTTAAATGTGCAGGGACAGTACTACTGTCATTATAGAAGAGGAAGCTCGTCTATGATGTTTTCAGAGCATATATTCTTTTGGTGATAAACTCCCTATTTTTTATATGTGTTACAATATTTAATAAAAAGGTCATGTTGTGATTAGAGCACTGTTGATTCCCTAGCCTAAATGAACACTGATTTTTACAACTAGTCTTCGATTTCCTAGAAGTTATAAAATTAGTATCCTTTTATCTTTTGAAAGTAAAGCATGCCATGCAGATACATCACATGCATGCTTTCTACACACAAAAATTCTAATTTACAGTTTTCCTCCATAAGGCAAAAAAAATGCAATTATGGTAGTTTAACAGTCTTTTCCAACACAAACATGCACATAGGCATTAACATGCTTATTAAATGAAATGTATCCTTGAACGATTAAAGAAGGGGGGGGTGGAGCCTGTGTATAAATGAAGTTGTGGACTCGATTCATCATAATTATTTTCTGGCTTCTACGAAACCACACAAAATCTTTTAAGTCGAGTTAGTGTAGCCTACGCGGACATCCCGGAGTCTATTTCTGATCTCCATCGCAAGAAGTCCACTTTCTACTTTCCAAGGAGTGGGGAGGAGGAGGCGCTGCACCTAAGCCAATTCTCAGGCCCTACCAGTTCTCACCGGGGCAAACACTGCCATTGGTTAGCTTTGAAGTACGAAAGTTCCCTCTCCTCGCTCCCCACTTGCCCTGACCCTGGGGTGCGAGGGAGGCTGTTCACAGCTCCATGGAGAATGCCTGGCTTCTGGTCACAGCTTCCTTTCTAAACCACCGAGTGGTCATTGCTGTGAACTCCAGCCAGGATGGTGTGATTGAGGGAGGAGGCAGAGCGGTCGGAGCCCTCCCCAGGGGCATTGGGGTTGTCGCTGCGCTGGCAGCACAGGATCTGCCTGAAGGTGGCGCTCATCTCTTTGTCGCGGTAGGAGTAGATGATGGGGTTCATGGCAGAGTTGAACTCAGCAAGGAGGAGGAAGAACTTCTCATAGGCCAGGACGTCACACTGGGGGCAGCACACGTCCAGCAGTAACAAGACAAGTCCTGGAGTCCAGCAGACGATGAAGGCACCTGCAGCCACAGGCAGAGGGATCCGGGGATTAAAGGAAAGAGAACGAAAACTATCATTACAACACAAGCAACCAAAAGGTGAAATGATTTCAGCTCTGTATATAAATACTGACATCAGATCCACCAACCAACGTGAAGCAAATGTTCACTTCGTGAAACAGAAAAAAATCAGCTTAGTAACATTTCATTAATTTGGGTCCTACTTAACACACAGCATGTATAAAATAGTAATATTAATGATTTCGAACAAACTACAGAGTTTGATAAACATCTGCTCCATGAAAATATGCATTGAGGGGCCAGAGGGATAGCTCAGCAGTTAAGAGCACTGGCTGCTCTTGCAGAGGACCTGAGTTCAATTCCTAGCACCCACGTGGTGGCTAACAACCATCTGTAACTCCAGTTCCAGGGGAATCCTATGCCCTTTTCTGACCTCCACAGGCACTGCACAACACGGGTGCACTTACATATATGAAGACAATACACTCATACACATAAAATAAAAAATAAATAAAATGTTAAAAAAGAAAATGCACACGTCAAAAATTTTCTTCAAAAAAATTGCATAAAGGCTGTTTGGGAGCAAAAGATAAGCAGTAATTACAAATATCAAATATCAAGGCACAGACTCTGGTTTCAGCTCATCTGTTCTCAAATCTTTGCCACTTTAGAGAACTGGGTGAATGTAGACAGATGATTTTTTACCCCAGTTTCCTCATTTGAAAAATAGATATATTTACTTTCTGAGATTTGTTGTAAGCATTAAATGAATGCTAAGAAAATAATGACTCGATAACATATATGAACAATCCCAATAGCAGTATCATTCCTTGCTCTGTAGCATGTAAATAGTAGTTGTTAATGATAAATGCTTTGATTTTTATTCAACGATCTCAGTATTTTATATAGACTTTACAAATGATAATTCACTCATTCTTCAATAAGTCATATATCATACAAGCTAATAGCCCCATTGTACAGACAGAAAAACTGAGACCTAGAAAATTTAAAACACCTTCCTTAAGATCAGCATACTGGAAAGTAGTAAATGAGACAAATTACAATTTTTTTACACTTGGAATCCAAACTCCAGAGTCTACATTCTTGAAAATATCCTCCTGTGTCTTGCAGCTTACAAATTAAGTATTTGAAACCAAATTTTATGGTTCAGATATTCTCTAATTTAGATTAGTTTTATTCTCCCTTCCCCTCCCACACACAATTTTTCCAAACTGTTAAGATTTTTCTATAAAAAGGCTGGAAATAGAAATCATATTCCATTTGGATCCCAGGGAAAGCAGAAGTTGTGAAATGATATTAAAATGTATAACTGTGAGGCCGGACGTGGCGGTGCACGCCTTTAATCCCAGCACTCAGGAGGCAGAGGCAGGTGGATCCCTATGAGATCAAAGCCAGCCTAGTCTACATAGTAAGTTCCAGGCCAGCTGGGGCTACAGGGAGACCCTGTCTCAAAAACAAACAAACAAAAATTTATGACTGTGTGACCTTAGCATCTGCTGGGTACTTTCTACTGAATGAGAGTGAGCCAATGGAACCAGGGTGTGCCATTATACCTCAGCTAAGAGGTCCGGTGTGGATGATCAGCTACGAAGTGAGCAGACTGTAAGCAGGGAGAATTCCAGAAAGCACTTGAATCTTTCGATATAAATGGTGCTAGCCTTGGTGGGTGGATGCGAACTTGGGCTAGAGTCCCCAGCTTAGACCAGCCTCAAGGAATGAGTTTCACAAAATATAAACAAACGAGATTTAGACTCCAAACAGCCCAGCTTTGAGTGTGAGCTTTCTTTTTTGAACCTTTCCAGCAGGGGAATAAAACTGAAAGAAGAAGAAAAGTGTCCCATAAAGATCTTCGTTTCTCCACAACAACGTGTGTTGGTTTAAAACTGCTGTTCACTTTGAAGACTATCCAAGGTGCTTCCTTTTTTCTTATAAATGCAATACCTTAAGCTCTCCTTAGAGAGGAAAAAATTATATTCCAAATAGCAGCAGCTAATAGGCAGGGTATATCTGAACTTCAATAAAAATGTTAACAGAGATTCATTCCAAGTCCTCGAATTCCCTTTATTAAAAATCGCTCACAAAGCTAAACATAAAGGAAAATCAAAGGAATGCCTCTTGGGTTTCAGAAATAATGTATTATTCATTGAGAATCCAGGAAGGGAATTATTCTCAGGCTGGAAAATGCTTGGATGGAAAATACATGGTCCCATTATTCAGTTCCTTGGAAACTAAAACACACACAGGGCCTTCATGAATGGGAGAGCATTCTTTAAAGTTTGCTTTCTACTTCTATCAAGCTCTAACTGAGCTCAAGTTCAGAACTTGATTAGATATGAGCACAGGCAGATATATTTTACATAAAACAATCTTTTTTTCCTTGAAGGGAGCAGAAAGAAACAGCTCTTATACTCAATGACTCAGTCCGCTTGACTTTTCAGAAGGGAGGAGATTCAAACAGTCATGTGTGACGATTTCTTCAAATGTGAAAATTCAAGAGCAAGGTCTTTTTATAAAAGAGCCATGGCCTTAGAAATTAGCCTTTGGGCAGGCCAAAATAAAAAAGAAATCCAAAACAAAACAAAAACCAAGGCACCCTGTTAGATTTGGTCACAGGAAAAGAGATGCACCACAGCCTGCCAGGAGTTAACCTATGTGGACACTTTATTGAAAGAACTGAGTCCTCTCCCTTTTCCCTCACTGAAAGGAACTGTTTTTAGAACTATGACGAGGTCCAACCATAATGTCTTTGAATCTTCCAGACTCAGTAAAATGTTTCAGTGACCCACAGGGGACATCTCAGAAGTCAACATTCAAAACCAGTCATATGGAGTTTTCCCCTTCCTTTCCTTAGCTTTCATAGAGATGTCTTAGATAAAATAGACCAAAGGATGAAGATGTATTACAAAAGGGGCATGAGAAGGGGGCCTGGAAAATTCCAAGGTGATGGAGCTCCTAAATTACAGTGAAGAAATATTCTGAAATCAAGTTTTCCCAAATTGTGGATTTTTTTCCTCTGAGTTTCTGAAAACAGAAGTCACATCCAAATTCCTTTAAAAAAGAAGTGGCCAACCCTAACTGAGTCAGGCCATAGCACACCAGATGTGCATCATGGACCATACTGAGTCTGCAGAGAGTTGAATGGGCTCCTGTAAGAGGTTGACGAGATGAACAAAAGCCTCCATCTCAGTATCTGTAAAGCAGGGAAGGACTAGCTCTTCCATATGGTGCATGGGAAGCAACTTGCAAAATCTCTCTTGACACTATACATCTACCTGATCATCACTCCCCAGCACCATGAATGTCATAGATGAAAAAGCCCATGCAGTGCAGCTCTAGGACAGATCCCCGCCAAGGCAGAACATGGAAGCATGACATGAGCCATAGGACCTAGTATTTCAAAAAGCTCTGTGACTACACACATCATCAGATGGTCACAAGAAGGAAAATAAGAAGGAAGAGACTGAGGGAGAACAAGAAAGGTCACTTTGGAGGTTATTGGCTCCATACTTCCCAGGATGGGAAATAACCTAATACACAACTCAGTAGGAGAGTGCTTGTGGAGTCTGTGTAGTTCTGGCACATTTCTGATGAAGGAATTGCTACAGACCAAGGCACAAAACCAAAGACTGTATGTAACAGTATGAAGAGAGAGGGAGCAGAAATAGCTTATGGTTAAGGTATTGTAAAGTTGGAAGTGGCAGAAGGTAAGATGTCCAGGGTCACAACAGCCCTGTGTATCTGGCTAGAACATTCAAGACTTTTCCAGTTTAGCACTAGTTCTCAAACTAAGTCACAGAGAGCAATAGGTTGGGGGCTGGAGGGATGACTCAGAGATTAAGAGCACTGGCTGCTTTTGCAGAGGACCTGGATTTAGTTCTTAGCACCCGCATGGGGGCTAACAACCTCCTGTACTGCAGTTTCAGTAGATCTGATGCCCTCTTCTGGATTCTATGGGCACTGCATGCATGTGATGCACTTACATACATGTAGGCAAACACTTATACACAAAAAATAATCTTTTTAGAAAGCAATAACCTGAATGAGGGCTTATAAGAAATAATAATCTTCAGGGCTAGAGAGATGGCTTAGTGGTTAACAACACTGACTGCTCTTGAAGAGGACCCAGGTTTGATTCCCAGCATTCACATGGCAGCTAATAACCATCTAACTCCAATTTCAGGGGATTCAACACCTTCTGACCTCCATGGGCACTGCCAGACATGAATACATTTACACACATGCAAGCAGTACACTCATACACATAAAATAAAAACATCAAAATATTTTTTAAAAAAGAAATAACATTTTGATCTCACCAGCTTCACCTGCTAGATTTTCATTTAAGATACAGATCAGTGACAGTGAAAGAAGAAAATGATCAAAATAAGTAGAATAGATATTATACATATGTATATTCAGTTATTTCCAACGAGAGTCTGAATCAAAGAAGCAGCCTGGAGAAAGACGCATCGAAGTCCAGTAAGGTATTTAGGCGATAGTCCCCACCTGAGGATGAGAAGGATAGAAATGTCTAGAATGAATGATTTCAAGGTTTTCCATATGAATGAAGGACGACTGGTACCGCCTTTGGCTGAGGGAGGAAACAGGAGAAAGTGTCCATGTGCATTTTGTTAAGGATGGTCACCTGTGCTTTGTCTAAAGTATCTGCAGGATATCAGATGGAGATGCTTTAAAGACATCATGATAGGTTCATGGAAAGCTGAGTCCCAGGAGCCTTGTCTCAGTGTGCAGAACACTCTCTCTGACATGTCACTGCTCCCAAAAAAGATAGGGCCAGGAGGCTATTCAAAACCTGTCTGCAGATTGCTCTTCTTGGACAAGTTGCAATCCTCTTATACATCTGTCAGAGCAATCTGGGAGGGCCAGATGCCCACAGAAATGGAAGGAGAGCTGCTGGAATGTGGACGAAAGAGGCAGGGAGGAAGGAGGCTGCTTTAGAACAACAGGTCACAGCTGCA